GTACACATTTGGGAAAGTTATTCCTACTTCTAGTTGGGTCCTCGGGACCAAAGAGTCCAGATGGCTCTATTGCATCTCTGGTGGGACTTATGGGAAATGGAGATCAGAAGATTAGCAGTGCAAGTGCCCCCCATGCTACGCTGAGCCACCGATGAAGACAGGCCTGTATTTCTTTTTCATTCCCCATGATAAAGATGAATTTACCACATCATTCAATATAGAAATCTGTTTTCTTTTCAGGTAAGGCATTACAACTATAATTAGCCAGCAGATCTGGACACAAGAATTTCCTCCAGGGGACCACACACAAGATTAAATATGGGAGCTATTAAAGGTCAAGGCACAGGAAGGCATAGGCAGGAAAGTAAATCACTGTAGCCTGCAGATTTGATTGCATAATGGGGGAAAGCACTGGGTAGCTGGGACTCTCAGTATTCAAGGTAAAGAAATGATTATTTTTGTTCACAGGAAGAGCTTGTTAATATACCCAGACACTGTTAAACTGAACCATTTCTATCTGCTTCTCCAAGGTGAAATCAGTGGCCTTAAATTATTATCACAAGCCAATAGTCGGAGATGCTTGGGATCATTAGCACAAATCCCCTGGACAAACTTAAAAAGCACAGAGAAATTAGCAGAGAAACAAGCTTTCAGTGATTACCCCAGGAATTTAGTAATTTTATTTTGCTTTTATGTACACTTGAAAAACCATGGGGGTCATCTCACCAAAGGACCATTAAACAGATCATTACAGCACTGGTCCTTCAGGGGAAGAAAAAGGCTCCAAGCACTGCATAGAGACCAGGCAGATGGCTTCTTCCAGACCATCCTATTTCTCACATCCTCAGTGGTTCTCTCCATACCAACCAGGCTTGAGCTGTGGTGTCATAAATCATCCTGATTTGGCTGGGTGACTGAAATTCCCACATTAATGTGGCACTATGACCACAGAGCTACGCCATGGATATAACAGTTCCAAACACCCGAACGTGGTATGATTCCTAGGTACTGGAAAGAGAGTATATTTGAACAAACAATGGTGGCTCTTAGTGCAGCAGGTGTCAAGTTTTTGTTTATGGTGATGGTTTCACACTGAGGTTCCTGAGCATCTCAGTGAAAAGGAGCATAGAATAACCTACTGTAGGGGAGCTCCTTTAGGAGGGGGCTGGACTAGATAAGCTCCAGAAGCCCCTTCCAACCTCTGTGATTCTGTGCTAATATCAGTGGCTTATTTAAGGCTTATTCCACTGAACTTTGCTGAGTGTTTTGATGATGCTTGTTACCTACTCATCCTTGAGATATCTTTTACTTTTGACTTCCTAGGCAAATTAGGGTATCTACTCATCTTACCTTTTAAGGAGGCATTTGAAGGAGCACCAAGGAATGGCTGAAGTCTTCCTCTGATACAATGAGACTCCTACTGCTCACTGCAGTTATAACACATGTCAAGAGCAGCTCTTTAAAAAAACCTATACTGCAAATCAGAATTTCTACTGACTTCGGGAATCTCTCCTGAGTAACAGTAAATAAGAATGACCTTGTTGTTATACAGCCAGCAGGCAGATCTTATTCAGGGTGCAGGGAAGCAGCACGCACTGAAGACGTTCTGTTCTTTACGTCACCATATCCTCACTGAGTGACTCAGTACAAGGTTTGGATTAGATCAGTATGGTATTCTTCACTACAGCCAAAAGCAGATGACTGCGTAGAAGTATGAAAATATTTGTTGAATATTCTCCTTCCAGCAACTTGTAGCTCAAGGACTTCCCAGACTGTAAGAGGCGTCTTTAACAAACCCTGATAGATTCCTCTTTCATGAGTCTAGCTGTATCTCCTTGACTCCATATAAATTTTTAGCATCCACAACATTCTTATATGAATCAAATTTAGTCTCCAAATATCTATGACTAATCAATCCTTTAACCAGCTCCATTTATATTTGAACTCCCACTGCAATACTTACTATTAATTTGTCATCATTAACTTTCACTGCTATTATTTTTACTCTCAGAGGTGTGTTCTACAAATGGCTGTCCAGAAACATGGGCACGTGATTTTCCTTCACTTTAACTTCTCATTGGATTCAAATAGTTTCAAAACAACAGAATGTAAAAGGGTTACAAGGAAGATCAGAAATATAGTAAGGGCTGAAAAATTGGATCGGGGGTTTAAGAATGAACCAAAGAACCTGTGCAATATGGAAAGTAACTGACTACACGCAGTCCAGATGTTGCTGTTGGGATGTAAAATAAGAATATAGATAACAAGTCACAGTAAAATCCCTCCCTCTTCATGACTGAGGGGTTCAAACTGTCACAATTAAGAGCACATAGTGATTGATGGGAAATGTGGTTGACACACACGTGTGTACACACATGCACACGCCCAAATAGTCAGGAATCCCTGATGAGATTACTGACACATATCTAAGAGAAAAATGCTTTTTCTGTACTCTGTATTAAATCTAACAACCATAGGGATTGGTCATTTACAGTCTCTTTTCATTAGGTAATGCCTAAGTGCCCCCTGAGCGTGCTGTGTTTTCCTGACCTTAAATTACAGGTTGCCTTGTGTACTCCAGTGTAGCAAGCTCAGCTACAATGCAGAAGTATCAGTTTCAATTAATACATTTCTTCAGATCCAGCCCAAATCGCTGCTGCCTGAGCTAGGTCTTAAATACTGTGTGTGAATTAGCTTTACTAAAAATGTAGCACACAACTAACAAGAACAGATGATTCACCATTCATTTGTGAAACACCCAAATTAGTGAAATCAGCATTTTAACTGAGACCCAAATAGTGATGTATATAGAGTTCCATGTTATTAGTGCTGTACCATACAACAAGCAGAAGGTTATGCAAAACAAGCAGAAGCTTCTAGAGCTACAGAGATATCCACTGTAAGCCCTAACTACCAAAGAAAATATCTTTACAGGGCTTAAATTTAACTCTACTGCTCTCCAGATCTTCAGATGAGCTAGCTGTTATTAATGTCAAAAGGTGATGCCTGTCAGCCAAGAACTACACCGGAGTCCGTAATTGAATTTCTAGAGTTGTCAAGAGGAGTCTAATAAAATAGCTGCTACTGGGAGTGATGCATGCAAAAAAAAAGCTCTGGTATGGCAAGATGCAAAGTATGTTGTGTGGTTTCCCAATGTCATTTCAAATAATATGTTCAATTTTTCTGAGCTGCATTTGCCTGGCATTCTTCTCCCGTATAATAATGATTCATTATATATAATTTATTCAAAGACTATCACTCACCTCTAAGTGCCTATAAATATTACTGGAGCTAGACATTTGCATTGTAAAACAAATGCGTAACACGGGGATTTATGAAGGATCCTTTTACATCAGTTCCTTGATTGAAAAGAGAGATTTTTCTGAAGTAAAACAGACCTTGAAATCATCTTAAAAATCTGCCACAGGAAACAATTAACAGCTCTTCCTTCCCTGTGTTGGCTGGGTAATTTGACAATTTAGGGAAGGGTTGAGGACCAAATATTCCTTGCTCAGGTTAAATGGATATTGCTATACTGCTGTTTCATCAGTATTACTGGGAACGTTCCCATGGTTATAACAGCCATGCATAATATCTGCCCTCCCACTGCTTTGCAAAAGCGTGAGCCATTTCTTAGTGGTGGTGGCAGGCTGACAGATGCCACTGCCATGAGGAAAGGTGAAAGCAAAATATAATCCCGTCTGGAACAAAGGCTGCAGACTGTGGCACCACACAAGTGTTAAGGAAGGGGCGTGGGATGCTGGCAAATTGGTATGTGAGTATGTAGCAATTCTAAATCCAATGCGAGATGACAATACTCAGCCAGGATACAGCGAGGCATGGGAAGCTGGTATTGTAGTGATGTCCTGACCTGGCTTGCTGCCTCCCTCACTGGGTGGGTGTTCAGTGTAGAAAACAGACTGAGGCGTATTTGTTCTCTTCTGTGCCAATGAGAATTAGAAATCACAAATTTAAGTTCCAGCAAGGAACAGTTATATCGGACAGCAAGAAAAGATTTCTAATAGGATGGTCAAGAACTGTAACAGAACCCCCATGGAGGCTATGACATCTCCAGCACTCTGTCCAGCCACACTTTTACAGGCAGGTTAGAAAAATGACTATGAGAGAGAACATACTGGTATAATTACAGCCACTGCAAGAAAAATTCACTGGCCATGCTCAAAGATCTCTTCAGTCTGCCTATGTTCAGTCACCTTTTTCAGCTCTGGCACCTGCCAAGCGTTACAGCAGCAACCTCTTACCAGTAACACCCTGTCCACAACAGTAAGAGTTGCTACCAGTGGGACACAGGCCAGACGTTCTGGCTTTAGGCAGGACAAACGTGTCTTCACAGACCCCTGCCAGGTCTGCATTCTCTTATTTTGCTAACTTATTAGAAGAAATCTTAACAATTTTCCTGTGTTGAACCTTCATTAGGGCTGAAGATCTGCACTCAGTCTGATGATTGTTAAATTCATGACCCTCCATATGGCAGCTTTAGCAGTGTTCAGGTCAAGTGCCAGGCTGCAGGCCAAAAATACAGAAATACAATCAGTTTCCTGCACAGTGCTCCATCAAGTGGAGATGAAGATTCCTCAGCACTCAGTTAAACATGCAGTGGTTGGCTCATGATACCAGGCTGTGCAACAGGAAGGCTGTCCTGACTTCAGTCCTCTGCTACTCTCTCCAATGTCTTTGGCAAGTCATTTGTTCTTTCCTTTGTGCCTTTGCTATCCATCTGCAGAATGGGATTAAACAAGCTTCCTAATTGCATCAGGACTCCGTGAGTACAGACAGGATCAGGTACTTCCTTTGCCCATGTACAGTCTTACCATTAGCTGCTCTGAAAGGAAATAGGAGCATAGTTACGTTCCTGGTTTCATACTTATTTACACAGGGTTTTAGCTCAGCTTGCACTTTAATTCCATGGAATCCATCCTTTAAATCCAATCTGCTGCTTTTGCACAACCTAGAGAACAAACCTAGAGAACGGTAATTTCTGCAGGTTAGCAGATTTTTTTTATTGTACTGAAACATATTTTACATAGGCAATGGTTACACTGTACTTGTTCCATCACTAAAATACTATTATAATATTTTCCATTGGCTTAAAAAAAAAGAAATAATAAAAAAGATAATTTTATTTATTTTATATATATATATAATGCTTTCTATTCATTTTGTTCTATATTATAAAGGCAAATTTGGGGATAGTGATGTGGCTTAAATATATTAACATTTTCCCTCTGGGCACTTTGCCTTCACATTCGGATATGAAGCATGTGGAATGAGTTCAGGAATCTCCACCTGACAACATATCAACCCACAATAGGTGTAAATTCAGCCATTCAACCAGAGTGCTTGAGGTGGGGAAGAGTAGTATGGAACTCCTATTCTAACACGCTTTTCTTACTTTTCCTGCACATTAAATTTTCTCTGGTACATTTTCTTCCTATGTTTTTATTTTGGATAATCCCAAGTTTGTCCTCCCTTTACAAAGATTGTCACAGTAAGGAACATAGCGCTGTTGATGAAATATTTAATGATGTATGAAATATTTAATAATTCTAATGTAGTGGAATTAATCACCATGGATTCTGCTTGAACTCATGGGAGAAGGGAAGGAAAAGAGAGAGAGTTACTGCAGACACCAAGTCAGAGTTCATCTATTAGGACACCTGCACTGAATCAACTCCTGCAGAAATCTCTTTCCTTTTGCTAAGTACAGCAGAAATCCAGGAAGACATGTCTAGAAAAAAAAAAAAAAAATAGCCCTTGTGTATCTTGTGTAGGTTCAGAAGAGTCTCACAGCATTCAAATCTCCTACATGCTGCAACTTATGTGTACGTTTGGAGCTGCACCCTTAGCCATCTTCAGCCATTTGTTATCTCCCCCAGGGGCCAGAGATGCATAGTGTCTACTGTGCCATTCTATAAGTTCTCCTCTAAGCTGGCATTTATGCAACAAAGGCAGCAGAACAGTCAGGTTTAGCTGGGATTTCAGTATTTCTCTGAACTAGAGAGAAACTGCTAACCATGCTTAACAGTTACTGGCTATAAATTACTGTAATGCCAGATGAGAAGGCTGCTATAAAAATGCACAGGAAAAAATCAACATTACCTTTCCAGTGAGCTGAAATGCCTAAAATGACAGGAAAAGCATCCTGTCCTCCCTGACCATTTGTTGGATATTGTTCATACTTGCCAACTTGCCATTTGTGCAATACAATTACGTAGTCTGGATTAAATTGAACAAAATTTATTATGCTGATACTAAAATAGCAGTGGCATAATCTATAGTGCTGTGCCCTTGTCCATACTTTCTAAAGCCCTGAAAGTCTAAGGCAACACTGCACTACAACTGCACTGTTTTGAAAACATGACGTTGAGCCTTTGATAGCCAAATTTGGTGCTCTCTGAATCGTGGTACACAAAAGAGCACAGTGGCAATAAGGAGATCCGGCCAATTCCAGATAGTGTCATTTGAGCTCACAAGGAATTTGGGCCAAGAAGGTATTGATCACATATTAAAAATAGATCTGTTTAGAAAAGACTTGTATCTTGGTCATTGATGGATTCATTTTCCTGGATATACTGGAGAATGTCCACTTCATTCATTGTCTGAATTTTGTCTTGCTTTGGCTTTGCCAGTGGAGATGAATTTGTGTTCCTGGGCAAAACTGCTGTCTTCTGAGGCAATGGTGGTTTTGGTGGTACCTTAGGTTTGGGTTTGGAGGTTAAATTCAAGAGTTTTTCTAAATCATCTTCAACTCTGGAATGAAAAGAAAACACCAGAAACTCCTCAGTAACTCAGCTTTGGAATTTTGGAACTGCTTCTTCTTCGCAGGGTTTTTTTTTTTACCATTTTTCAACTCGTCACGTAAACTAATTTATTTTACAGCATGATTTCAACCTAAAAACAAATTGAAATTATGAAAATAAGAAGAATGTGACATTAGTTTTGGGGGAAAAAAAAAAAAAAAAGCTTTTGATTTGTTACAGGATAGCTTGCTTTTCCAAGAGCTGAGTTTCTGTGGGATAGCAAACATTTTCATCTGCTGCTCTGCTTTCCTCTTTCCCTTCCCCAAGACAGACACGCTCAGTCACGAGAAACTGGAAAACATAATGGCTTTAGAAGCACTGCATTTATATCTGATTCCAAGAAATTGAGGGAGTTTTGCAATCTGTGACTGTGTACAACAATTATTTTTTGGTGACCATTTTTCACAGTTTCATAGTGACAGAACCAGAACATCTGGAACAGTTAAGATTGATTTCTACCTCGATTGTTTGACCTTATCAAAGGCACAGCATGCTGTGCGCACTCAACTCTGCTCTCATTGCAGCTGTTAAAGAATTTGAAAGCACCCTTACAACAGACAGTGGTGTGACTCCAAGAGATGGCTACCTTACCTTTAGGAAGTAGATATGTGAAGGAAAGAAAAAGTAGGGTGTGATACACCATATCTCTGAAAGAGGAAGTACAGAGGTGTACTTCAAGAAGATATGAATGAAAAGATGTGAATGTAAAGATGTGGTGAAAAGATGACAAGGGGGAATGGTTTTAAACTAAAACAGGGAAGGCTTAGGTTAGAAATTAAGAGGAAGTTTTTCCCCCAGAGGGTGGTGAGGCACTGGAACAGGTTGCCCAAGGAGGCTGTGGATGCCCCATCCCTGGAGGCATTCAAGGCCAGGCTGGATGTGGCTCTGGGCAGCCTGGTCTGCTGGTTGGTGACCCTGCATATAGCAGGGGGTTGAAACTAGATGATCATTGTGGTCCTTTTCAACCCAGGCCATTCTATGATTCTGTGATTCCAAGTAAAAATTAACATAGCTGGAGAAGTCTTAACAGGCCATGGCAACTTTTGCTCTGAATCCAAACAGCCTCTCGTCTTGGTACGCTGAGCACAGTGGTCAAACCAAATGCCATCTGGAGTAAACACAGTTTTTGATTTCCCAAAGGCTTCACTGATCAATCACCGTTAAGCAGTCAAAACCCAAATGGTAATCCATGCAGATAATCAGCTCTGTAATGACTGGCTACAGAAGTGAAACCCCTGATAAAATGCATACCTCATATATGCTTACAAAATACAGGATTTGCAAAAGGCTCTACCCTTACTGTACCATATAAAAACTAAAGAAAGCTTAACTGTAAGAAGTGTGAGCAAAAATATGCATGAGGGACCAGGAGGAACATGAGGGACCAGGTTTGTAATGTGACAGCATCTCCATGCCAGACTCCAGCTCTGGGATATGCTTATTCGATGACTGCAGTGTCTGAAGCAGTAAAACAATCTAGCTGCTTAATTGTTTACAAGCACTGATACAGGAACTGTTTTTACCAAACTTCAACATCAACAGAAACAGCTCATTAAAAAGCTGTAACAGTGCCTGTAGTAAAACTCTTTCTGCCACAGCCTAAGATAGGGCAGCCCAACAGGATATGAACTACATGATGAAAATTAAGGTACAGAAGTTATTCCAACAGGACTGGAATTTTCTTCTGAGCTAAAGTTCCCCTTGAGTAGTTTTACTTTGTTCATTCTTACAGGACTTGTGAGGATAAGAAAGTCTTGTCAAGTGAACCTTAAATGAGAAAGGAGACTGCTGTACCTGTGCAGCCCACACTCTTGCCTACAGCACTACATCAGGAGGTGGCACAGTGTTCCCAGCAGGAAGGATGAGCTGGATGTTTGCTGTTTGTAACAGCTTTCTTGAAGTCAGAGCTTTCTGTAACTGTCAAATAAAACCAAATATGGTCAGCTTAAACCACCTTGTAAAATCAACTGCCTGGTCACTAATAGATACATCTGGGAAATACCTAACCAAATAAACACATGGACAGAGCACACACACTGTCTCAGAACTCTGCATTATGAGCTCTACGTGGTACACTTTGTATTCCATGTGCTTCTGCTGTTGTCTAACTCAGATTTCAACCCTCAAGTAATTCTGGAGACTATATTCTGTTTTAATTTCATAATAAGATTTATGATGTCTTTTGGGTCCCATGACTCCCTGTAGGTGTTATATCCCACCTAACTTACAAAACACATTGTGAGTATCTTGCTTCCTTCTGAATCTCTCATTTACAGAGAAGAAATTAATTCATTTAAGCCCAGATATTTGCTGCAAACTGTGATATCCAAGAGATATCACACCTGTGATCACATTGTCAAGACATGTTCTTGTTCTCTATGCTGCATAACAAACAGGACATGTTACAGCTGGTATTTTTGAAGCCTACTTTTCTTTAGCTAATCTGATGCCTCCCAGGTTGGCATAAACAAATACTGAATGAATCAGTGTCCACGTCATAAAGTTTTGGTCAGAAACAACAGAAACCATAATAAGCAGATGGACAGTGCAGACATACACATACAGATCGCATGAAGCCGGCATGATTTTGAGCCAGCTGAAGTATTTGAGGCAGGCAGCTGATCTGCCAAGCAGGGGCAGCACTAGACACAGCTGATTAACCTGATCAGAAGTCACAGCTTGCTGAATTACCTACTCCTTCGTGGCTCTATATTCATGTCTGTGCTAACCACAGCAACAAAACCTCAGTCACAAAACACCTCCAAAAGATGCAGCTCAGATACTTTTTTTCTTGCTGTGTTGTTGGTAATACGCTTGCTGATCATCAGTTCTGTAGATCTGATTTTTCAGTCTGAAAACTGAGAGTGTAAAGCTGCATTTCTGGCCTGGATTTTTGAAACAGCTCTGTAAGAGAGAAAAACCTTCTACAGGGGACACAGCAAATAATGTGATCTTTGTTTCAAAACCTGCTTTTCATGCTACAGCATTAGGCAAACTGTTTCATCCACTGCTGACTGATCATGTGAGACACAATTGTCTTTGGAAAACTAAAGAGGTAAAATGCAAAATGCCTCAGGCAGAAATAGAAACAAGGACTCCTATTTCTTGAGAAGCAAATGAATTGTTACAGTGCGTAACTACCACCATATTTAACTCCAGGCGAGGAGGAGGTAGAAGAAAAACATCAAGCAAATATTCTAAAACTAACAAGCAGATGAAAGGAAGAACCTTCCTGCTTCCATCCTCCATTTTGTTACAGACAATCAGGTACAGGATCCATGTAATTAATCATTCTCTAATTAGTCTCTCCTTTTTTTTTTTTTTTTTCAATGGAAAAGCAGCACCACAGTTGTTTAAAATTCCTGCCATACTGTTGTGCTGATTCACAGACTTTTTTTTTTTGGTGGAAAATCTCATTGTTTCTGGACAGAAAGCAATCAAAACCCCTATTAAAGAAAAACTGTCACAAAGCCCTACAGTATAATTGCTAGCATGTGGACTTCAAGAGAGTGAAAGACTTCTGAGCTGCAGACAAATATATAGCTGCCATCAGAATATCAGCATTTTAGATGTCACTTCTCGTCTTCCATTCTGTCTGGACAAAACTTCTGGGACAAGAACAACAATCCGTGCATGCAGCATCTAGCATGATGAGAGCAGTGACCTCCTCAACCTGCCAGGAATGCTCTAATGAGGAGAATTAGTAATGAAAGCAAGAGACAAAGACTGCCATAATTTGCTAAAGTATCCAAAAGGATCAAAATTGAAGCTGCGTTATGCAACTCACAACAGCTCTTGCAGAACAGATTTTTTATCTTTCTGTATCTTACTACAATTATTTTGTCTGGTGTTAATTCTGTGCACAACATATTCTTTACTGAAGTGTTGGGGGAGAGATGTAAAATCACATATTTGACAGAGAAAAGGCTTTGAAGTATCATTACATTACATCATACAATAGAGACAGTGTGGCCTGTGGAAATCACATAGGCTGGAGTTAACGGGAGGGGGCTGTGTAGGAGGTACTGTCCACTGCTCCTGCTTTCCCTTGCAGTCCATTCCAGCTAAGTTCCTATTGATACTTTAAACAGTGCCAGAAGATGTATCTGGAACACAAGAGCACTGTTAAACTGTTAGAAAACCCCCCAGCACAGTTTTGGTCTGGATTAGATAAGCCCTCTTCCACAAAGCTTCCAGGCGTAGCTCGTGGACTGGCAAAAGACAGGGACCATTGCAGCTGCAAGTAGTCTATTTGTTCTAGAACTGATGAGTCCAAAGCATGGATGCAGCCTGACTGCCTGCCCTAGGGCTGGAGAACAGGCTCATTAGTACACCTAAGTCCTACACTTGCACACTCACAAGAAGCTCCCTGAGGGTAACAGCCTATTGATTAGGTCTCCCACCCAAGAAAGGAGACAGTTGTTTTTACAATCTGAACCAGAGAGCTGGTTACATTTTTCCCTACCCTGAAGAAGTTCAAACTTTTTTTTCTGCCTTCTCTAAACAGTTCCCTTGTCACCAGCCTATGGCACAGTTGGGAGAACAGTTTCTGGGTGTCTATGGCTGTCAAAAATGCAAGTATGCTGGGACAAAATGTTTGAAATCTGCTGACTTGAACCTAGCAAAAAGGTCTCTTGTTATAGTTAGACAGACTAGGAATTTAGGTCACTACTCTGCTTTATTTCACAAAACACATCCATGTAGCTAAGAGCAAGGCAAGAATTAATGTTTCCTATCTGGCAATAGCCTTTCTATTCTGTTGGCCAAGCTCACTTGGTAGCTCTTCCACTGTTGGTAGGTAGCATTATTATGCACCATGGGAAAAATGTTAGGAACAAAATAAATGTTTGAAAACCATTACAGAAAGTGTTCTTGGGCAGCAAAGAGAATCCATCAAAATGGAGGAAAAAAATGAGTGTAGTTATTTATTTTTTTGCTGAAAGCTACTGCAGCAGAACAAGATTATTTCCCCTTTGCCAGATCCCAGCTAGCCACAGAAACTGCCCTGGAGTGGTCAGGAAATTTCTTAGTCACTTGTTGCAGCCTCCTCTACCACCGGTCCACAACCCAAACAATCCTCTGCCCAAGGATCTAGATTTAAACCCTCTAGTTTTTCAAAGCTCTTCTACCTGTGGTTCTGCTCTCCTTCCCTTAGTACAATGAGAAAGTATTTCACATGATACGCAGCTTGAGATAGTGTTCCACATCACTTCTGGTTAGTCTTAAGGTCTCAGTGTTGCCCTTTGAATTCAGTGCCTGCCAGTGGCCTGCTGAATGAAGAACATACAAACTCTGCTTTAAGGATGTTTCTTGCCAAACCTTAACCTAACAAACCTGTTTGGGAAGCTATATAGACTGAACGGTGCTGGAAATGGTCATTGTTAGGATGCAGCTTCACAAACACCTTAAACCTCTAACAACATCGTGCTCCAGAAAGAGCATTTGCATCACTTGCAGCTGTACATAGAGATTAGCCTGTAAATACAGACAACGTGTATCTTTTAAGAGCATGGACTGAATAAGGCAGCTTCAGCAGAAAAGTAAGAGCTGGATGGTCCCTAGATGACACTATTCTCAGCACTAGAAAAAGACAAATCTTATGCTGACAGCTGCTTCCTTCCATCTCAACACCCTATTCATTATCAAAGGTGAAGCAAATTGAATCTCTCCTAAAAGGCTGCTCAGACAACTCTGATAATTATTTCAGGTTAAGATGTGTGGTAATTTATGTAATTCCGTGGGCCACTGAGCTTCTTCAACATTCAGACAATCAATTCTAGCACTGGTTTTTCACAAAAGCTTGATCCATCACACCAGGCAGGCATGATTTAGATTAACAAGGCAGAAGAGGTCAGCTGCAGTCCTTTTGCATGCAAACTTACTTTGCACATCTGTGGCTGCTAGCTAGACAGAGATGAGGAAACAAGATGGCATCATGTATGAGTTTGCAGGATACTGGTTTCTGTAGCAGGAACTTTGGTAATAGAAGGCTGAATGCATCCAGAAGGAATCATTATATGGTGTGATGCAAGCCAGGAAATGAGAGAAGCATAATCCTAAATCCCTTTCCAAGGGTAATTTTTCTAACACTTGAGAAAGGGTTGGTCAGTTAACCTTTCAACTTACTGCAGTTGGCCACATTGTACCTTGGAAGAGTTGAAAACAATGGAACCCTGGACTTGTTGGAGGTGTTTGGGTTCCTCAGGAATGCACTGTGGAGAAGAGATCAGCCAAAAAGATTTGGTTACCTATCACTCTCTTTTGCAAAGTGTATCCTATGAAGGATGTGCCTTTCTTCTGTGAAGGCAGTACATTGGTATTTGACCTTGCTGGTTCCTGCCACAGCAATTTATCTCTTTTCCACAAGTTCTGGAGAGATGTGTAAATACAAGTACCTCACTGAAGTATTAACAGCAGACCCAAGAGTAGGAAGGAATGCCTTTGTCTATGATGAATGAGGTAGCTCACCTTGTTTCTCCATCACCATCACATAATGTTTGTTGGTTGGCAGAGAAATTAGGAACCAGCAGATGCTGGTCAGTGGACCGAAAGAGGGAAGATATTTGTTTGAAAAGATGTGGGTGTTTTGCCATAAAAAAACCACAAACCTTTCATTGCACTTGCAGAGAATTTGGTCTTTCTCAAACTTCAACACTCCTTAAAGTGCATAATTCTACTTAAAATAGTAATTCTTTTATTTGAGCATGCATCCAGAGATAGCACAGTCTTTCATCTGCAATGAGAGCACTTATCATATTCTCTTCTCCCTTATGTTGTGACATGCAGAGCCCACACACATTTTGCAGGCTCATTTGTCTCTGTTACAGTCACTTCCTCGTAAGTTTCAAGTCACTGCTGGGGGAGATTACTCTTGAACAGGCAATGCTGTGGTGCAACAGCTCCTACAACTGCTCAAGTATTACAAGGATCACAAAGGACTAGATTGCTCCTGCGTTCCCCTCTGACCATCAGCTTTTTCCCATCTCTGCTCTGCAAGGAGAAGGTTCTGCCCTTTTCTGCCTTGTACAGTGCTCCCCTATTTCTGCCCGTCATTCACTGGAAAGTACATTTTCCAGTAAGGCACACACTTCTCAGACCTATCACATGTATACGAGTAGACTGTGTGGTACATGCAGATGTGCACTAAGTCAGTCAAGAGCTACCTGCTTTATTTAGCTAATTCATCTGTGCACAGCAAACACGTCTAAGGTTTCTGAACCTACCACAGACTCTAGGATGTACAGATAACACTGTGAGCTAGGTTTATCAGGGCAATTTCAGAGAGTATTAGGCATCTAAATAGGTCAAGTTTGCTTGTTCCTCTGGCACAGTGAGGATTTGCCTCTGAACTCCTGTAGCAACTTTCCCATTGAACAGCAGGCATGATTTTCTGCTTCATTACATGTATTCGCTTCCAGTTGGATCTTGATGACTTGCCAACTACCGAAAGCGTTGGGACAAATCATGAATAAATGAAAACAACTAGAATTTATAAGAAACAGAATCTTTTCTCATGGTTTTCTGTTATCAGCTGGGTGTGCTGCTAACACTGATGACCCCGAACCAATTTAAAAGCATAGTCTATTGGTCTTAGAGTAGACTTCAGAGACCTTTCTTCACCACAGAGAAAGGGAAAACATACAGTACAAAGGACATTAACACTCAATTGGAGAAACTCTTTCCACTAGCAACAAATGAATACAATGACTGCATGAAAACAGGCACTTCTAGCCATATAAGCTATCTGAATGCATGGTGAGATGGCTAGCAGAAGAGAAAGCACACATGAAAACACTGCAAGCACAGAATGCTTGCTTCCAGTATACCACAGTACTGAATTAGGTCATGTCCTTCCCTATCAGCTTTCATAAACGTCAGGTGGGCTGCCAGGATATAATGTGAGATGGCACCTAACCCAATTTAACCTCTGTTTAAATTAAGCCAGTTATTAGTGCTGAGATAGTTAGCACTTTTGTATGGGTAAAAAGCAGTACTTGCAGAATTATCTGCTTCAGGAGAGGAAACCACACACTGCTTCTCTCCCTTGGGTTTAGTACCTACTGTTGAAATCATACATCCTAACAGAAGTTTGCTGGGAAGAACTGCTGCTTGAAATAGGTTGGCCTCATCCTTCAGATGTTGGCCTGAGATCCAGACAGTGTGAATTTGACTCTTTACTGCAGCACAGATTCCCTGGTGATGCCAGTCTTTCGGAGAACTGGCATCCTGCTTGTTATCTTGACGATTATCAGTGCAGGCAAACTAGCATTGTGAGAGTCAAGTCAGGAATAAAACATGTGGTGTTGATGCTATGTTCCTGTGCTACATTTACAAGGGAGCAGGCAAGTGTAAGAGCCTCTCTAAAGCAGAATTCCTCTTTTTTTTCCTGGGTGTTAATCTCGACTCAGTTTTTTGCTTTTTGTACTGGAAGCTATTTTTGACCCCTGTGTACTGCTCAGAGAAAGCAGAAGTGCCATGTTAGACAACAGATACCTTAGCAGTTCCTCAGTGTCCTCCTCAGGACCTGTGTTTGGAATGTGCTCCCTTTTCTCACAGGCAGCTGGCAGCAGCAGTGAATCACCCAATCTCACCACTCCACCAAGGTCTAGATCTTCAAATAATTTCACATCTGGAAAGGGAAACCAGTAAAAGGTGTAGTTAAACTGTACTACACAGAACAATAATCACAGTAATACTAACCAGGAATCTGAATAAAGGGATGAAAAACATGCAGACAGTTCCTTAGATACAATGATTTCCAATCCACAAAGTTCTAGGAAACACATCAGTAATATGTTATGTTCTCAGGAACTGGTAAATCTGCTTTTCTTCTTGCACATAGGTCACACTACTCTTGCCACTGTCATGACAGCCAGCTACCAAAAATCTATATTACCCAAACCCAAAATGTAAACAGTGAACAGCTGGGGGAACTACAACAGTATAGTCCAAACTGTATTTATCCTGTTTAAATGATTCTAGATGATTCTGCCCTGGCTTTGACTTAACGCTTTAACATAAAATTTGCCTTAACATTTCCAAAACATAATCTAACCTGTATACTCTGCATCACTATATTTTAAAAATACAATCATACACATGCTTTAGACAAAACAAACTCTCTATACACAAATATAGCAAAGGTTTACTCTCTTTCATCTTCTTCTTGGGACCAAGTGATGAGAAATCTTTCTCTGGGCCAAACAATCCCTCATTTGGGTCTACTTCCTCTTCGAAAATGATTAATTTGTGCTTCTCTTCCTTGGCTGGAGGAGCAGATGCCTTCTTTGCTTTTTTAGTTCTAAAAACATAAGAGACAAGAAGATCAACTGCAATTCTTCATTTAACAAGAAAGATTTATGGCTAAGAAAGTCCCATATGCTGAAAATAGATAGGAGTCTGGGAAAGTATTAGAGGAAGGTACATATACACATCTGTTAGTCACAGGCAGAAACAAGATGTGGAGCTGGGTAGTCAGCATGACATACTCTAACTGTACTCACACTTAGGTACTACCAAGGAACTCAATGAGAAGTGGAAGATTAGGGCCAAAAATGCCATACTGCAAAAACTATCACTTGATCACATTTGTTTTTAACAGTTTTACTTCTCTCATAGAGGAAGCTTAAAATAAAGAAGAGCAGCAACTTCAGCAGTACTGTCATAGAGAGACAGAGAAGGGATGGCTTGAAAAACTGCACTGATCCCTTTTGCCCTGCTTCCAGTCACTGACTCTGTGTTTGACATCTACGTAATACTTTTCATCACAGTGTCAACCATTCTATGAAAACACCCTCCTCCTCAAAAAAGAGTCTACATCACCCTTAGGTTGAAGAAAGTAGGGATTGGAAGACAGTTTTTTGGATAGACTGCAACCTGCAGAATTTACAAATGTCACTCAGTACTTTCCCAAACCAAGGGTAGGATTAACTGCCTCTAAATTCAGCCTTCTACGCTTGGACAGTGAGACAAAGTAGATTTTTAGGCTTCTTCTCTACTCAATGGAAAGAGACAGAACATTCCCACAGGACAACTAATCCCCTCACCTTTCAACACTGATATTTGGATACTGAAGATCTGCCTCTCCCTTCCCATTGGATAGAGAAGGAGGCTGAAAACTGCTTTGGATTAGAGGTATCATTCGAACACTGCTTAAACAAGGACAGGAACAAAAAACATGCATCTAATGCTCTCGTATATAGGAATTACATTCCACTAGCCACTGCAAGGCAGCTTTCAAGTAGGGCAGCTAGAGAAAATTTTGAGAACAGAAACCTTTGGATGAAAAGTCCAATCCAAACTAAGCTGAGATAGAATTCTTCAGGACAGCACATCCTTCCCAAGAACTGGCCATATTTTAGAGATCTTGATTCCTAGCATAAATGGCCTCAGCACCTCTAAGGTAGCCCCTTAGAGAGCCTCTTAAATGGAAGATCTGATCTTCTTTGCTGAGAGTGGGTCATGTTTCAGCCTAGAGCAAACCCAATTATCAGCACTTAACATGCCAGAGTCATCAAAACTGCAAACTAAGGTCAAAAGATTACACATACATTCCAGCTACATAAAAGAACCTTGTAAAATTCTTGTCTGAATACAGCTACATGCAGAGTGGAGTCCAGTTACTTTCAGTTATTTCCACGAGTTTATTATCAACAAAACAGAACTTAATGGATGATGTTACTTTGCTACCATCACTTTGTCTCCTGGCAACAGGAAAGGCCACACTTCAGAGGCCTAACAGCAAGCCTCATGCAGAACTGAAATACAGACTTATTTGGAAATACAGCAACAATACACCAAAGGTATCTGCAGTTGACGGTGATAGTGTGCTATCTATTTAAAGTACAACCTCCCTCCTTTTTTAAACACTTCCATGGCTTTGCTTTTTTCTATGTATATTCTTTATGGATATGCTTTGAGTGACTTCTGAATTTGAGCTTTTGAAAAGTCGGATCCAAGCACTTGCCTCAAACCAAAGCATTTGTGAAAGAGTCTTCTTCCAAAAATGTACACAAAGTAAAGTAGTATTACCTACAAGCCAGACAGCTTTCAGTACATATTTCCACTCAAAGTTATTGCTTTATTAACTATGGCAAGAAATCTATCACTCCGATGAGCTTAAACATCACAGGAAAAGGTAAAAAATGAGATTAGTTATATAGAACACAAGAAGAACATTAAAAATGAGTTGTAGAGAGCTGGCCAATTGATTCAAAGTAGAATTAGTAGACACAAAACAATCCAATCTACTGGGGACAGAACAATCTTTGCAGGTTTTGTGCTTTACATTGTATTCTTTGAAGTGACTGATAGCATAGATGAAGATTTGCCAACCTGTGGAGTACCAAAAAGCCTTTGGCAAGATACCTTGCTTGTGCAAGTGTGACTGCAGCTCTCCTGATGCGTAAGGAACTTACACATGAGCTAACACATGTCCAAGCAACAGTTCTCCACCCCACTGAAGTTAACAAGGAGTATATCAACAATTAACTGACAATTAGCTGACATAGCAGCAGAGAGTATCAGCATGGTGGGAAACATCAAGGGAAGGGTGGAGAACCATCAAACAACACCATAAAGGAATAAGACGTAAAACAAAATGAATAGGACTCAAAGGCCTTAGTAATAACCCTCTGTTGAATCTAGCCCTCAGACCAGCCTACAGACACTGTCTTGCTTTCTATTTTGCCAAGAGACACCACTGACAGTTAGAGGGCATGAGACCAAACCCACAGGGCCAACTGCTACCAGCAGGAACATGAAGAAGTTGTTTTTCTGCCTCCAAGTCATTTCCCCTCAGTGCCCTTCTAAGGAAGCCACAGCTGGGCTGCCAAGTCATTCCAGCATATCCATACAGGGCCTCCGTGGAGGTCAGTCTCAAACCAGGAAACAAGATTCCCACGGTTCTGTATTTAGCAGTGCCCATCCAGGCTGTACGCTGGGAGCAGAGGGTAACAGACGAGAAAGGGGGTGTGAGAAGCCTGGAAATCTGTCTGGGGCTCTGCGTTCACAATTGGCTTAGCTGGCCTGAGCGTGTGCTGCAAGTCGTGGTTCTGCCTGCCCATGCACTGGTGATGAGCCTACATGCTGGTGGGCATGCTGCAAGGATGGCCACTTGAAGTTCGTGATGCTCCCAATCTTAGACATGCTGAAAATACCTGCATCCAACTGGCATAAAGTGATCCATCTCACTGCTATTTCTGTGTTTGCTGGAACAAGTGAATAATGGAAAGATCACTGCAGTTAACTTCAAGAATCTTAATGAAAACCAAACCAGTCATAAACCTCCATCAAATTGAAGAGATTTCTGGAACTATGCTTATTTCCCCAACTGGACACACTATTTTCTATACATGAAGCACCACAAGAGTGCCTCTGGTAACACTGCAGTCTGCTGCCTTGAGCCAAAATTGTCTCACAAATAAATGTAAGGAAAGATTAGCCTCTGAATTGATGTGGACAAAAACTGGATGACCAAAAATTAGGGAATGTGAATGCTTCTAGCCAGGTTATTGGTACACTTGAAAATGCAGCTGAGATTCCCAGCCTCCATGTGATTGTCACCAGTGAAAATGTCAGCAGAGCTCTGGATGCAGGAGATACTTTCAAAAGTAGCCCATTTATTCAGAGCAGTTCTCCTGTTATCGTTTACAGACACAATGCAGGTCACTTGTTTGGCAGCCTCTCTGTCTCACTGGCACATCAATAATGTAGAAAAGCTTTCTGGTCAGCTGCAGCAATGAGGATGACTAAGACACTCCACGTGCAATTGCTGTGTTTTGAAATGCTGGATCTCCACACCTAACTCTTGGTGACCGATAGCTTAAATCACAGAGCTGTGCTCTGCAACTCTGCATGGCTGCTGTGGTTGGCACAGAAGTCCCCAACCCATTCTCACTACTGAGTTAAAATATATGCAGTACTGATCCTACTGTGTGTACTCATCCTTCTGTGCATTCAGAGTAAATGCAATCTCAGAACGCAGACAGACAAAAACGCTCTGAACTTACTGTCCTGAAAATATGACTCTTTCTTTTTACAGGAATAAGATTATGCTCCAGGAAAGGAATGTTACGCATTAAAAAAAAAAAAAAGAAAAGATTTACTCGAAATACACATACATTTTAGGAATCCATGCGATTTTACAAGGAAGCTCAGTGATACAAATGCACCCCAGCTCCCACACATCCTCGTTCAAGCTTGAACAAAAGATCTCCTGCTAAAGCAGCAGCAATATTAGCACATCTTCTTGAAAACCATTTCTGGGAAAACAAAGATCCTCTACACTAGCACACCCAGAAAGCAAAATGTCATCTGCTGGATTCTTTTCATTCAGCAGTGCTCATTTTCCTTAGCTGCCTGATAACAACACACAGGACAAAAGGGGTCATTCTCATCTGCTTTGGGCAAGGGATGCAGCACAGAAACTCGAAGGCAGCTAGCTCAGCACAGCCTGGCATGAAGCATTAAGCAACCGTGACAAGTGCTGGCCACAGGGATATTTCACCTCACACAGTAATCTTCCTCTTGTAGGCATCGTAGTGACTTACAGTGCTTTAAATGGCCCTGGCATGTCCCAAAATAAGATAGGGTTTAATAGATGGAGTAAATCTCCCATTAGCGATCATGTGGAAGAAGAACATGAAATTGCAGGGGAAGCTTCTCCTGCTCCATTAGGTGAGCTTTGGGCTATTGTTCCAACAGAGAAACAGACAGAAAGAAAGCATGAAGGACTACATCTTCAGCTCCCATCCACGGACCTGCTCTTGGGAAGAGAATTTTGGGCCCTGCACCCAGGAGAACCTATTCTTCAAATAAGAGAAGCCACACAGTTTCTACAGTCTGTCCTTACACTTTCTGGTGATACCCTTTTTCAGTGTAATCCAAAAATGGGCAACAAGATCACAGATTCACAACTTTTGTTGTTTTCAACATTTTACGGACAACAAAAAACAAGTTTCAATACGACCAAATTAAACTACAGCAAAGTCATTGGTTCAGAACAAGACAACCATAATAAAGTGGGTGCCAACAGCACCAATAATGCTGTGAAAAATCCAGAAATACTCACAAGAGTTCGGGATTTTATCTATAAAGCAGCAGAATGGTTCCCTCAGGGTGCCTGACGGCAGTGAAAGAGTTCTTATTCTAACATCCATGTTAATGCTGCATGTTTTCAAATATGCGATACCAGGCAACATGCACAAGCGTGTTTTGGGAAAAAATAAAAAGGCCAAGCATCTTTCTGCACCCCCAATATAACTACCCAACACATTTTAGACTTCAGGGAGGTTACAGAGG